ACTTATCTTCCAACATTACCAAATAATATTCTGTTGAGAGCTATAGAGTTTTTATGAGCTAAGCACTAGAAGTATGTAGGCAGATCCTGCTTCCTAGCCTATCTTAATACGGAGGATCCCGTTGAAACCTGTCTGCTATGGCTTACCCTGTCAGTATTTGACACGCCACTGGCATAATTTCTAACATCACAAACTACTGTCACAATTATGACAAACTGACAGGTTGTGGATACTAAGTTTAATGATCTTAAATCCTCTGCTCAAACAGAAAAACCAAAACTCACAATACTCATACAGCATTTTAATGTTATGTTAGTTGTCAATGAGGAACAAACATACAATTTTTAATTACATATTTTTATTGGTTTGTATATTTTTATTACAAATTTTAATGTAAAAATTACAAATTTTCATTTAATGACATTTATATAAAAATATCTTTTTATTGAATGACTGGTATACATTCATTCAACCATAAAGTTTCTTTAAAAACACTTAGACAAATATCTTATTTAGCACTTTTAAAGTCTCAATAAAAATTATACCAACAATCATGATTTCATTTTACAAGGGAAGCAAAGGGAGAAATATCAACTTCTGTAAGTCATATATAATCTTAACAGCAAAACAAAATCTTCACATTTACCCAAAAGATAGGAAGTCAACAAGGTGCAAGAAAGCTAGATCAATGGGAAAAGGACCAAAGTGGTTTGTGTGCCCTCACGCTGGCTGTGACTCACTGGGATTCTGTGAACAACAGCCCTGACCCCTGCAATATCTGGCACCATCGTCACACTCTCCAACGTGTTCAAGCCCATAGTGGATGGTCACTGTCAAGCCTTCTTGCGGAGGGCCTTTCTCTCTTTCTCTGACCCTCCACCTTTGACAGCACAGAGTCTTTTCCTCTGACCCTTCTTCTTTGCCAGTATGATGTCTTTTCCCACTGGCTAGCTGTTCCTGATAATATGCCTGAAGTGTGTGAGACAGTTTCACCACCCTTAGCTCTGGGAGCAAACTGACTGCACTTCTCCCAGAGCAAAGCTCTTTATTCTGTTGGAAGTCCATGGAATATGCAGTACTCTTTGCCCATACAGTAGTTCAAAGCCATTAATTCCTCTTCGATTTTCCTCACTCATAGTCCAACTTTCAGATGCACAGAAAGCAAATGAACATATCCTGGCTTTCATCAGGTGCACCTTAGTCTTTAAACTGACATCACCGCTCTTTAGCACTCTGGAGATGGCCCTGATAGCAGCTTTGCCCAATGCTGCACAGATTTTGATTTCTTGACTTCTTCTACCATGTTGATTATGGATCCACAGAACATGAAATTGTGACAACTTCAGTATTTTCTCCATCTCTCATGATGTTGCCTATTGGTCCAGTGGTGAAGATTTTGGTCTTCTTGATGTTGAGATGTAACGCACACTGAAGAGTGCAGTCCTTGATCTTCTTCAGTAAGAGCTTTGAGCCTTCTTCCCTCTTTTACAAGCAGGCTAGTGTCATCTGCATAATGCAAGTTACCGATGAGTCTTCCTCCAATCCTGATATTACTCTTCTTCCAAATGATTTGCTCCAACTTCTCAAATGATTTGCTCAGCATACAGATTGAACAGATATGGAGAAATAATACAACCCTTGTGTATACCTTTCCTGATTTTAAACTATGCAACGTTCTCTTATTCTGTTAGGACAACTGCAACTTGTTCTATGTATGAATTTTGCACAATTAAGTGCTCAGGAATTTCCTTTCTTCTCCAAGTTACACATAATTTGTCAAAATCCTAAAAGTTGTTATATAGGGTAGTAAATAAATGGAATGGCTGTGTTCCAATAAAATTTTATTTAAAAAAAATAACTATTGAGGTAGATTTAGCTCGCAAACTGTAACTTGCCAAATCTCTTCTAAATACTCCAATTGGCTGAGTGGGTTTCAAAAAAAAAAAAAAAAAAAAGCAAGACCCTATTACATGTTGCGAACAAGAGGTCTTCTTTTACTATAAAGACATAGTTATGTGCTACTCAAGCAGATATATGCAAACCCATGTTTATTGCTGCATTGTTCACAACAGCAAAGAGATGGAAGCAACCCATGTGCCCAACAACAAATGGATGGATAGAGAAGCTGTGGTATATTCACACAATGGAATACGACGCTGTATTGAAAACAAGGAACTCATGAATATACAAAATGGGTGACCCTGGAGGATGTTAGTCCCTAAAGGACAAATACTGCATAATGCTACTGTTGTAAAACAGTACTGATATTGGGGTTGGGAGGAGCCTAAGAAAAGAGGGGATAAATAATGTATACTGCACTGAAACAGATGAGGGAGAGAACTATTTAAAAGGCATATATGATGAGGTATTATTGTCATGACAAGAGTCTAGAAAAAGAAAAGCATAGTAAAGTAGACTTGTGGCAGGGGGACTGAATAACAAAGAAATAATTTTTTTTCTTTTAAAAGAGAAAAACTAACTTGGGGGGAGGGGTGGGCAGGGAGGAAAATGTGCAACAATGAATGAATGGGGAAAGAAATTAAATGGGAAAAATATCCTGTAAAAAAAAAAAAAAATATATATATATATATATATATTTGTTGCATTTTTTTAAAAAGACACAGTTATGTTGCCATAAATCAGTGACTAAACAAAAAATAGTCCTACAATGAAAAGAAGCAAACTAATAAAAAAAGGAACAAACGAAGCAAACTAATAACAAAAGGAACAAACTACTGCTATGTGGCAATGGGTGGCTCTCAATGCTGAGCAAAAGGAGACCAGATTTTCTTTTATAAAAAATAGATCCTAATGACTTATCATTTATAAGACATTTTAGAGACTGTGAACTAATTTAGAGGACAGAAAGATTCATTATAGGTTGTAGTTTGGGGTGTTGAGATGGTTGAATATAAAATGGCAGGAGAAATGTTTACGGGGTGACAGAAATAAGTCTTTTTACTTTGATTATAGTAATGATTTCATGGAGAAATAACTATCTCAAACTGATTTGTACATACTTAAATGTCATTACTATGCTATATGTGAACAAATTTATAAAAAAATAAAATAATACTAACACTATCACTGTGAAGACAAAGTAAATATTATTAGTGGCTATTTTATAAATTAAGAAAATTAAGACACTGAAGTTCAGAAAAATGAAATATGTGCCTAGAGCAACATAGTTACTGACCCAGGATTCTAGTGTAGATGTTTTACTACAAAAACTATCTGATCCTACAGTTTTTATTTCTTTATCTGAGAAAATAATGCCACCTTAACTTGATTTAATTAATGAGGCTATTAGCAGGTTTGGGCAAAATACATTTCTAAGCATTTTAATTAATGAGATAAATGACATATTAACACAAGGATTTAATAAAATGATATATTACCATTGTCCTCTTAAAGTGAAAGAAATGTCCCCTGTAGTAACAAATTCAAGAGAAATTATGAAGTAATATGTATAGAGCAGATGATCCAAAAGGCTGGGCTCTATGAGGAGAACTGTGGCATCAGGATTGGTGGAAGGTCTATTAACAATCTCCGTTATGCAGATGACACAACCCTGCTTGCTGAAACTGAGGAGGACCTCATGCATTGCTGCGAAGGGTCAAGGACTGCAGCCTTCAGTATGGACTGAGGCTCAATGTCAAGAAGACAAAGATTCTCACCACTGGACCAATTGGCAGCGTCAGGATGGATGACAAAGAGATTGAGATTGTTCACAGCTTCAGTTTGCTCGGCTCCACAGTCAACACTCTTGGCACCAGCAGTCAGGAAATCAAAAAGCGTATCGCGATGAGAAAGTCTGCTGTTAGGGACCTCTCTAGAGTATTCAGGAGCAACAGTGTCTCTCTGGAGACTAAGGTGCGCCTGATACAGGCCATGGTATTTGCAATCGCTTGTTATGCATCAGAGAGTTGGACAATGACTAGGGAGGACAGAAGGAGAGTGGATGCTTTTGAGCTGTGGTGCTGGAGAAGGGTACTGAATGTACCATGGACTGCCAGGAAAACAAACAGATTTATCTTGGAGAGGATTAAACCAAGCTACTCCTTGGAGGCAAGGATTCTGGGGCTTCGTCTGACATACTTTGGACATGTTGCCAGGAGGGACAGGTCCTTAGAGAGGGACATCATGCTTGGGAGGGTTGAGGGACAACGCAGGAGGGGAAGACCCTCTATGAGATGGATTGATTCGGTGACTGGGGTAATCGGGATGGGTGTGTCAGAGGCGGTGTGGTTGGCACAGGATAGAGCAGGGTTTAGGGCTGTTCTGCACAGGGTCGCTATGCGTCGAAAACGACTCGACGGCACATAACAACAACAACAACAGTCACTACTCGACACTGCAAGTCTTAGAAATATAGGGAGAAAAAAAGAAATATAGAAGCATTCTATGCTCATGGTTTCATGTGGGTATTTTAATAAAAATTCAGGAAATCTATATAACCCATATATGATCATATGTAGTATTTTTAAGATCCAATGTTAATCCTACTCCTATAATGAAAAGCCATGCAGTCACTTAAAATGTTGTAGAAGAATGCATTATTACGAGATGTAGTTACAAAATGCTAAGTAATAAAAACAGAGGACAGAAAATAACTTTTGTTTTCAAAATATGTATAGAGAAAAAGATTGGAAGAGTATATAATATACACAAAATATTAAAGAGTGGTTATCTCTGGGTAGTTTAAATCTGGGTAATTAAATCTGGGAGTGATTATATCTGAGTAGTTATTTATCTCTTTGCTTCTCTGAATTTCCCCAATGTCAGATCATAAACAAGTCATATTTTTAATATAGTAAAAATGATAAAAGCCACTGCTTCAAAATATAACCATCAACAATTGGGCCCCCACTCCCAGGATAGACTGTCTTTGAGACAGTCTATTGACTCAACAGTTTGAGTCTATTGATCTCAACAGTTTGTTGAGATCCAAGTATGCCTGAAAGGCAAGATGCAGAGACAATCAATATAGTATCACTCACCTGCCCAACTGCTTGCAGGTTATAGCAGATGATGTCCTTATTGGCAGCTGAAGTTCCATAGAGAAGTGCCTCAATGAGCCAGCATATTCCCAGGAGCAGGTCAGAGAAGCTCAGATAGAAGAGTGGCCTTATCTGCCAAAGGAACAAACGCCACATTTCATACAACAGCCAGGAAAACATAATGATCAATACCTTTGTGCTTTACCTTCCTAGCACAGAATGAACATCATTTGGGCCAGGCTTTCGCCATTGGTTAAAAAGGAGAATACAAAGTATGAAAAAGTCTATCATCACACTATACTACTTGTTTTAGGATCAGAGTATTCATGGATGAATTATTATTTCCTCAGTTATAAGATCAGGGAAAGAATGGACATATGAAGAACAACTGTGTGGTTGAAAGCAAACAATGTTCTATCTAGCTGCACAGTTAACATCTTCTGAAGATCTCAACTCACTGCCACTAAGTAAGAAGTGACCATAGCTGATCTTCCATTGGGTTTCCAAGGCTGTTAATCACACTCTTTCTCTATCTAAAGATAGGAAGCAATTTTAACTGCTGAAGATGACTGAGGATTTATGAAAAACAAAAAATAGGCTTTGATGTCCATGAATTATCTGGATGGGGAAGATTATCCACATGAATTGTGTACACTGCCTTTTAACTGATAAATACTTTGGTGGACATTTTTCTCTTTCGATTTCCAGATCCTTCTCTGGGCTCCCTACTAATCTAGCGAAAAATATTTCAAATCGTTCTATGAAAAAAATGACAGAATGCTTATTGAAAGACATTAAAGGTGAAACAATGTGAAAAAATACATAATGTTATGGATTTTAAGACTCAATGTTATACAAATATCAGTTCTCAATTGAATCTCAATATTTTCTTGTAGAACTTGGCAAAGTGACTTTGAAGTTGATATTGTTGTTATTGTCAAGTGCTGTTGAGTCATAGGTGACTCATAGTGACCCTATGAATGAAAAGTCCTGGACACCTGTATAACTTTTGTCCTTTCTCCAGGTTTATAGGGTTTCCAGACGCAAGCTATTATGGAAGTGGATGCCACTCCTGCTTCCAATGAAGCTGATATAGAAATATAAAGTAGTAAGAAAGGCAAAACGCTCTAAAGGAAGAGGATTTAGCTTACCACATATCCAGAATTAATACAGAACTACAGAAAATAAGATATGAGATAATGACACAGGAATGATCAAAATAAAAAGGTAAACCGAACAAAAATGGAGGCCAAAGTAAGCCTATACATATGGACAGACTTTTAACATATGATAAACTACTTAGCTGTTAATGATTCTAACTCATGACCTCAAAGTAATCAAGAAAAGGTAAAGTAAAGCTACCAAGAGAAAGAACGTTTCCAAGCAGCACTGCACTGGCGAGGGTTCTGTCAGAGCAGGTGCCAGCCCTTTCTTCCAAGGTGTCCCATGGCGGGACAAACAGCTTTGTTACTAGCCAAGTGCCTAACTTTCTGTTTCACACAGGGACTCCCTTGACAGAAGATATAGATGGCTTTTAGATCAATAGAGAAAGGGCAGACTTTTAAAATGATGATGCTAGGAAAATCATGCGTTAGTGATCTTACTATGTTCCAGTACCAGACCTGACCAAGAGCTGCCTCTCTAGAGGGTTTTCAGAGGCTGTAAACCACGTGGCAGGAAACTGGCTATTTCCTTCCTGTGGAGACGCTTGAATCTCCATAACTCGAGGCCACCACGTGGAAGAATAATTAAACTGGTCCCCTAATTTAGACTCCACAGTATGCCAAAAATCAGTTCCGGGTAGATTAAATACCTACATGTGAAAGAAAGGTAAAATGTATATAAAGTTTTCATAAGACAACATGGGAGAAATCTAGTTAAGGAAAGTTTTCTTATTAAAAAACACATGAAAAGCTCTAGAAGAAATAACTTAAAAACTTAGCTACATGAAAATGAAAAATCTCTTTACATCACAAGCATAAATAAAAGGGCAAGTCACACAGTAGGAGAAGATATTTGCAGCAAATCTGTTAAAGTGTCATTATCTAAATTATAATTTTTTGTTTAAAACGAAGAAAAAAACAAAACTTCTTACAAAGCAGTAAGAGCAATAGGCAATAGTAAGAGCACTAGCACAGAAAAATGGGCCTAGGGGAGCTCTGGTGGCCTAGTGGTAAGGAGCTGCAACTACAATCCCAGAGGTGCCCGGTTCGAATCCACCAGATGCTCTGCCGGGGAAGGAGGGACAATCTCCTCCTGTACCAGTCAGA